CCCCAAAAACCCCAAACTGACCCCAAAAACACCAAAAATGGTCCCGGTGTCGTTTGGGGCCGTTTTGGTGCCGTTTTGGTGCCGTCTGGCACCGTTTTGGTGCCGTTTTGGGCCATTTTGGTGCCGTTTTGGGCCGTTTTGGGCCGTTTTGGTGCTGTTTGGCACCGTTTTGGGCCGTTTTGGGCCGTTTTGGGCCGTTTTGGTGCCGTTTTGGTGCCGTCTGGCACCGTTTTGGGCGGTACCTGCACGTGCAGGGTGTTGGCCACGATGCCGTCCAGCCGCTCCTCGGCGAAGGGGTCGAAGGATTTGTCCGGGCGCCGCAGCGGCTCCGGCTTCAGCAGGAACCCCGAGCCCGCGTTGGCCTCGAACAGCGCCAGGTTCAGCTGCAGGGGCACGTCTGGGACACGGCACAGGTGAGCTCAGGTGTGCCCAGGTGAGCCACAGCTGTCCCTGGATGTCCCCAGGTGTCCCTGGATGTCCCCCAGCTGTCCCCAGGTGTCCCCAGGTGTGTTCAGGTGTCCCCAGGGGTCCCCAGGTGTCCCCAGGTGTGTTCAGGTGACCCCAGGTGTCCCCAGGTGTGTCCCCAGCTGTCCCCAGGTGTCCCCAGGTGTGTCCCCAGGTGTTCCCAGGTGTCCCCAGGTGTCCCCAGGTGTGTTCAGGTGTCCCCAGCTGTCCCCAGGTGTGTCCCCAGGGGTCCCCAGGTGTCCCCAGCCCCCCCAGCTGTCCCCAGGTGTGTCCCCAGCTGTCCCCAGGTGTGTCCCCAGCTGTTCCAGGTGTCCCCAGCCCCCCCAGGTGTCCCCAGGTATGTCCCCAGGTGTCCCCAGGTGTGTTCAGGTGTCCCCAGGTGTCCCCAGGTGTGTTCAGGTGTCCCCAGGTGTCCCCACCGAGGCTCTGGAAGTTGAGCGCTGCCATCTGCACCCCGGCGTTCCAGAAGAGCTGCGGGTGGAAGTTGGAGGAATCCACGCGAGTCCCCTTGGGGTAAACCCGGCTCAGCTGCCGCTTGTTGTACCTGCGCGTCAAGGGCGCCAAAACTGCCCGAAACTGACCCAAAAACGGCACAGAAACTGCACAGAAACCGTGCAAAAACTGCAGAGAAACTGACCCAAAACTGTGCAAAAACTGCCCCACACTGACCCAAAACTGACCCAAAACTGACCCAAACTGACCCAAACTGACCCAAAACTGCCCCAAAACTGCCCCAAAACTGCCCCAAAACTGCCCCAAAACTGCCCCAAAACTGCCCCAAAACTGCCCCAAAACTGCCCCAAAACTGCCCCAAAACTGCCCCAAAACTGCCCCAAAACTGCCCCAAAACTGCCCCAAAACTGCCCCAAAACTGCCCCAAAACTGCCCCAAAACTGCCCCAAAACTGCCCCAAAACTGCCCCAAAACTGCCCCAAAACTGCCCCAAAACTGCCCCAAAACTGCCCCAAAACTGCCCCAAAACTGCCCCAAAACTGCCCCAAAACTGCCCCAAAACTGCCCCAAAACTGCCCCAAAACTGCCCCAAAACTGCCCCAAAACTGCCCCAAAACTGCCCCAAAACTGCCCCAAAACTGCCCCAAAACTGCCCCAAAACTGCCCCAAAACTGCCCCAAAACTGCCCCAAAACTGCCCCAAAACTGCCCCAAAACTGCCCCAAAACTGCCCCAAAACTGCCCCAAAACTGCCCCAAAACTGCCCCAAAACTGCCCCAAAACTGCCCCAAAACTGCCCCAAAACTGCCCCAAAACTGCCCCAAAACTGCCCCAAAACTGCCCCAAAACTGCCCCAAAACTGCCCCAAAACTGCCCCAAAACTGCCCCAAAACTGCCCCAAAACTGCCCCAAAACTGCCCCAAAACTGCCCCAAAACTGCCCCAAAACTGCCCCAAAACTGCCCCAAAACTGCCCCAAAACTGCCCCAAAACTGCCCCAAAACTGCCCCAAAACTGCCCCAAAACTGCCCCAAAACTGCCCCAAAACTGCCCCAAAACTGCCCCAAAACTGCCCCAAAACTGCCCCAAAACTGCCCCAAAACTGCCCCAAAACTGCCCCAAAACTGCCCCAAAACTGCCCCAAAACTGCCCCAAAACTGCCCCAAAACTGCCCCAAAACTGCCCCAAAACTGCCCCAAAACTGCCCCAAAACTGCCCCAAAACTGCCCCAAAACTGCCCCAAAACTGCCCCAAAACTGCCCCAAAACTGCCCCAAAACTGCCCCAAAACTGCCCCAAAACTGCCCCAAAACTGCCCCAAAACTGCCCCAAAACTGCCCCAAAACTGCCCCAAAACTGCCCCAAAACTGCCCCAAAACTGCCCCAAAACTGCCCCAAAACTGCCCCAAAACTGCCCCAAAACTGCCCCAAAACTGCCCCAAAACTGCCCCAAAACTGCCCCAAAACTGCCCCAAAACTGCCCCAAAACTGCCCCAAAACTGCCCCAAAACTGCCCCAAAACTGCCCCAAAACTGCCCCAAAACTGCCCCAAAACTGCCCCAAAACTGCCCCAAAACTGCCCCAAAACTGCCCCAAAACTGCCCCAAAACTGCCCCAAAACTGCCCCAAAACTGCCCCAAAACTGCCCCAAAACTGCCCCAAAACTGCCCCAAAACTGCCCCAAAACTGCCCCAAAACTGCCCCAAAACTGCCCCAAAACTGCCCCAAAACTGCCCCAAAACTGCCCCAAAACTGCCCCAAAACTGCCCCAAAACTGCCCCAAAACTGCCCCAAAACTGCCCCAAAACTGCCCCAAAACTGCCCCAAAACTGCCCCAAAACTGCCCCAAAACTGCCCCAAAACTGCCCCAAAACTGCCCCAAAACTGCCCCAAAACTGCCCCAAAACTGCCCCAAAACTGCCCCAAAACTGCCCCAAAACTGCCCCAAAACTGCCCCAAAACTGCCCCAAAACTGCCCCAAAACTGCCCCAAAACTGCCCCAAAACTGCCCCAAAACTGCCCCAAAACTGCCCCAAAACTGCCCCAAAACTGCCCCAAAACTGCCCCAAAACTGCCCCAAAACTGCCCCAAAACTGCCCCAAAACTGCCCCAAAACTGCCCCAAAACTGCCCCAAAACTGCCCCAAAACTGCCCCAAAACTGCCCCAAAACTGCCCAAAACTGCCCCAAAACTGCCCCAAACTGCCCCAAACTGCCCCAAATCCCCCCAAAACGCCCCGCACCCCCCGAGTTTGGGATACTCGACGAACTCCAGGGGGCTCTTGGTGAGCTGCTCCAGCCCCTTCGTCTCCACGAACGACGACATCTCGAAGCTCCTGTTGCGCTCTGGGGACCCCAAAACCCCAAAATTCACCCCAAAACCCCAAATCAACCCCAACACCCCAAAATCCAGCCCCAAATCCCCCCAAATCAACCCCAAAACCCCAAAGTTCACCCCAAAATACCCAGAGTCACACAGAAGCAACCCCAAAACCCCAAAACACCAAAATCAACCCCAAAATTCACCCCAAAATACCCAGAGCCAGGCAGGAACACCCCCAAAACCCCAAAATTCACCCCAAAACCCCAAAATCCAGCCCCAAATCCCCCCAAATCAACCCCAAAACCCCAAAGTTCACCCCAAAATACCCAGAGTCACACAGAAGCAACCCCAAAACCCCAAAACACCAAAATCAACCCCAAAATTCACCCCAAAACCCCAAAATCCAGCCCCAAATCCCCCCAAATCAACCCCAAAACCCCAAAGTTCACCCCAAAATACCCAGAGTCACACAGGAGCAACCCCAAAACCCCAAAACACCAAAATCAACCCCAAAATTCACCCCAAAATACCCAGAGCCAGGCAGGAACAACCCCAAAACCCCAAAATTCCCCCCAAAACCCCAAATCAACCCCAAAACCCCAAAATCCAGCCCCAAATCGACCCCCAAACCCCAAAGTTCACCCCAAAATACCCAGAGTCACACAGGAGCAACCCCAAAACCCCAAAACACCAAAATCAACCCCAAAATTCACCCCAAAACCCCAAAATCCAGCCCCAAACCCCCCAAATCAGCCCCAAAACACCAAAATCAACCCCAAAACCCCGAAACCCCTCCCCAAATCCCCCCGAAATGCACCCAAAACTCCCCAAATCAACCCCAAAATCCCCAAATCAGCCCCAAAATGAACCAGAATCAGTCCCAGGACCCCCAAACCTCCCAAATTTCCCCCCCAGACTCCCCAAAAATTCCCCAATTTCCCCCCCAATTTCCCCAATTTCCCAATTTCCCCAAAAATTCCCCAATTTCCCCCCAAATTCTCTCCCAGCCCCCCCAAACTCCCCAATTTCCCCCCAAATTCCCCAATTTCCCCCCAAATTCCCCAAAAATTCCCCCCAAAATTCCCCAATTTCCCCAAAAATTCCCCAAAAATTCCCAAAATTCCCCCAAAATTCCTCAAATTCCCCAAAAATTCCCCAAGTTCCCCAAAAATTCCCCAAATTCCCCAAAAGTTCCCCAATTTCCCCCCAAATTCTCTCCCAGCCCCCCCAAACTCCCCAATTTCCCCCCAAACTCCCCAAAAATTCCCCAATTTCCCCCCAATTTCCACAATTTCCCCAAAAATTCCCCAAAAATTCCCCAATTTCCCCAAAATTTCCCAAAATTCCCCCAAAATTCCCCAAATTCCCCAAAAATTCCCCAAATTCCCCCAAAATTCCCCAATTTCCCTCCCAAATTCTCTCCCAGCCCCCCCAAACTCCCCAATTTCCCCCCAAATTCCCCAAAAATTCCCCAATTTCCCCCCAAACTCCCCAATTTCCCCAAAAATTCCCCCCAAGCCCCCCTGGACCCCAAATTCCCCCGAATTTGCCCCAAATCCTCACTCTGGGCAGCCTGGAAGGATTTGAACTTGACGGGCTCCACGTAGGTGACCAGGGTGGACATGGCCTCGGTGGCCGTCACCTCGCTGCCCGCCGTGCCCTGCACCCCAAAAACACAAAAACCCCAAATGGAGCACCCAAAAAACACCAAAAAACCCAAAAA